TCCACAACTAGACTGAAGAACAAAAGGACAGCAACTTGTCTGTTCCCCTCCCCCAATTATCCAGCCCTGTTCCAATTCCCCAGTAAAAATCTTAAAAAACAAACAAACAAAAAAAAGTCAGATGAAAACTGCACAATTCTTCAATGGTGGGACTGTGAATAGGTTTAGGCCTTTTGGAAAACAAAAATTCTTTAGAAAGTCTATTCCCTTTCACCATTTCTGTGAATCATCCTAAGCAAATGGACTTAAATGTGAACAATCTTTAGGTCTAAAAATATCCATTTCAGTGGTGTTTATAATAAAAAATACTTTAACATAAGTCAAAAGTGGACTATACAATGTATGGCACAGCCACTTGACATCCACATGCAATGTGTTTCAAAGAAAATGTCATAATATGGAGAAATGTTAATGACATAAAGTTAAGTGAAAAATGCAGGGTGCAAAGTTATGTAATTCCAACTATTTTTAAATCTATTTATTAAAAAGGATTGGAGGAAAGAAAATAGGCTGGTATCTATGTTTAGGTGGCAGGGTATTTTAGGTGTAGTTTTAAAAATTATTGTTTTTAAATTTTCCCAATTTTAAATAATGAATATAAGCTTCTTTTATCATCAATATATTACATATATTTAAGCTAAAATAAATAATAGAGAAGTACAATTTTCCTAGCAGTAGTCCACAAACAATTTTCTCATATGAAATAACAAAAATCTTAACAATATGAAATATTGATTAACAGTTATTTTCAAGAAGTGGAATAAGATAGCATTAATTTTTTGAGTTATATTATGATTTAATAAAATGTGAATTAGTGAGATTTAGCTAAAAATGTAGATGTTAAACAGTAAATTGAATCATAATGATTTCTCAACACCAAGCCGTACTGTCAATAAAATTGTGTTTATCTCTAGGGACCAGGGCAGCCAAATAATCATGTTTGTATTAGATTTAGTGTGGGAATCTTTATGTCTTGTTGGGATGAAAATGATTGTTCATGATGTACACATTCTAAATTGTTTCAGAGAATGAGCATTTGTTTTTGGTTCCTGTCAGGACCTCTGACATTTCACTAGTTGAACAGGTAAAGTTTGTGTTGGTAAAATAAAAAATATCAGCAGAAAAAAATACAATTATTTTTTCGAAAGTTGGAAATTCTTTTACCTTTACATCCCCAAACATTGCTGGTAGGTCGTGTGTTTTTGTTCCTAAATCCAAATGGTAGAGAATGTCTTCATCCATAGAATTCAGGTAAGGATTTTTAACATGAACAAACCTTTTTCTGGAGAGAATAATTTGAAAAAGTTGTAAAGGAATTTAGAGAGAAAGCACACAAAAGAGAAAAGATATCAGTCTCCACTTATGATAACAGCTAGTCCAAATATTGGACACACACCTTCATTTAGGATTAAATGATTTATTGTAAGTAATGTGGAATAATAATAATAATAATAATGGCTAATATTTTCTGTTCACATAGGTAGAGCCTTAAGCATGAGAAGTACACAATGCCATAAAACTGTATTTAATAAATACATTACCTCATTTAATCCCATAACCATTCTATTAGGTAAGCAATATTAAATAATCCAATTTACAAATGAAGAAGCCAAGGCATACAGAAGTTGAGAAATTGTGCAAGATTTTACAACCAGTAGATTACAAAACAGTCATTTCTATCTTGCCCTCATAGTCATTTTCTTTCTTTGCATGGGAGGCTGTGAAACAGAAGCCATTGGGCTCTGTAGTCAGATTGCCTGGGTTCCACTACAAGTTCAACCCTATATATACTAATTCTGCAATCTTGGGTAAGTTATTTCATCTTTGTTCTTTAATTTCCCTATCTGTAAAAATGAGTATAGTGGAAATCATAAACACTGGTGCTAGGCACTGATGAATTTAGACTCTGAAAGTATTTTTTATATCTTCCTAGATGATCTGATGGGCAGCCAAAGCTGAGAACCCCTCTTTTGGCCTTGTTCCTGAAACACCCTTCCCCTTTCCCTCCATTTGTCATGTATCAGAATCCTACTCATTCTTCAAGGTCAAATTCGAATATCACCTCCTGTATGAAGGCTTTTTTAAGCATTTTCCTTCCCCAGTCAGTATGGATTCCTACTCACTGTGCTCCTAAAGCATTTATTTCATTCAGAGGCTGATAGATAGCGTTTCACATGTTAATTTTCTGTCTTCCCAGAAAAATTGTGAATTCCCTCATGCAAGCTGTCTCATACATCTTTTTTTAATCCCCAAGTCTTAACAAATTCTATTTGTTGAATTAAATTTAACTGTTCAGGAAGTGGAACAGAATACTATTAATTTTCTCCTCAAAAACATTTAGGGTAACAGATTCTTAATTAGTTAGTGAATCATGGCTGGTTTCAAAAACAAAGTGTTCTGTGATGTTATTAGTACACTTTACTACTTCAGAACATGCCTCAAAACCTCAGGGCAAAAGGATCCTTCCTTTCTTCTCCTGGTGAGAGGCAAGAGGACAGCTAGTTACCGGTCCTCTCTTGTTAGAATAAGTGTGGTCGATGAGCCAGCAGCATCGCCTGGGAAGCTTGTTAGAAATGCAAAATCTCAGGGCNGGTTGTACATAATTATAAAGTAAAAGATAATCAGAAAAACCAAAGTAAGTGTTGCTTTTGTTCAAGTCAGTGTTTCCTGGTGTTTTACTTTACAATGAACATCAACCAGCCTCTTAAGTTGATATCGGCAGCCCACTGTCTGGCAATAGCATGTTCTATGCTTAGCATGTAGGTGCCTAGGACATGGAACATAAGTAACATGAGAACAAAAGGAGAACTATGAGGTTGAGATACTTTTCTTATTCCAAGCATAAGTTTTTACTGTAAAATGTGCTGTGTTCACTTAAAGCTTTTAAAAACATTACATCAAGACTTTTCCAACTTCTCATTTAGAAGTTCTCATGGAACAAGCCTTATTGTAGACAGGAAATCTCACTTCTGTATTTCATCAACTCCAGTCATTTGGTTGTGTTTTATTCACATTTTAACATCTCTGAAACTACAATAGGCGTGTTAGTCAAGAGTGTTACAGCTAATGACATAAAATCGTCTGGGAGTTGCTTGTGCAATAGCCTATTAGGGTACCTCAGCCCAGGGATGGGAGAGGTGGATGGCAGATAGAGGTTGGAGGGGCCAAATAGCAGCATGGGTGAGCAGCCAGCCTGGTAAGAATCAGGGGTCAGCAGTGGGGAGGCTGGATGAAGAGCAGCAGATGTCAGAGACCTGAGCAAGCACAGCCCACAGAAGGGCATAAGACGCAAAACCATTAGGGACTCCAAGTTAAGCAATGAGAAGCACAGAGTCTGGAGAAGCTCTGAATCAGAGAGACAAGGCAACATCAGTGGTTCAGGGCCTGCCCTTTATGTTAGATAAACCTGGCTTTGCACCCCAACCCCATCACTGACTAGGTAACTTCCTTAGTGTTATAGGTGTAATCTCTATGTGCCCCAGATCATCATCCTGTCGGACTGGCCAAAATAATTTTCCAGGTAAATCCACCAAAAGAACGGTTTATTTGGGAAAATAAAAAAGAAACAAAGCCACCATGGAGTGCATACAAGTGCACTCGCTGGCCAGTGTCTCAGTTGGCCACCCACATAGGAAAAGGAGAAGAGCCCAACATGGCTTCCCCCCTTTATTCTCATCCCTTCCGCAGAAGTTAGCACAAAGTTCAATAGGAAGTCAAGACTAGAGAGTTAACAAGGTGCCCAGCTCCACCCATAGTCCTCCCAGCTCTATGGTTAAGCATCTTAAGATGCCAGTTCACTTTTATCAATCCCCATAATGGAAAACCACAGTCCCCGTCAGATGGTTTTGTAAGGATAAAATGGGATTGACTATGGCAGAGGACATTGCACAAAGCCAGGCACCTTCTCAGTGTTCAATAAATGGTAACTACTGTTTTTCATATCGTGTAGCAATTTCCTGGCCCTGCTTTTGAGCTTGCTTATTGTTTCTGTATTTGCAGAATTTCGTTCAAATGAAGCTTGTTCAAATCCAGTAAGGGAAAGACAGTTGGTGGTGCTTTTCTGATGTGGGCAGCATTAGGCAGAGGATCAGAAGGATTGCTGGCGAGGTCCCTCAGAGGGATGAAGAATATCTGTCTAAGAAAATACCTCACTGAGGTTGTAGAGTAGATGCCTCCATTCACATGATTTACTATGACTATTGGGTGGTCTGATTACATGATACATTCTGTTTCCATTTAGCAATCATTGCTATGCCACACTCATTTTCAATTGTGAGATGTAATTATCCTTTTATCCAGCCCCACTGCTTCTCTTCTACCCTCATGATGGTCTTTCTGTGGCATCTGATCAATGTCTCTGATGGGGTTTAAAGTTGGTAAGAAACTGCAATGGGAGTTAGCCATCAAGGCTGGGTAGCAAAGAAAGTAAGACCACAGTCTAAGGCGAGTTTTTAAATTATTGTTGATTATTCATGACATTTTCCCCTCCATTGGTATGGACAATTAAGACAGTGCAAGATCTAAGTACAAAGAGGTTTTTTAGTTTTGTTTTGTTTTTACAAAATACGGTGGTTTGAAAATAACCTCATTGTGTGGTGACAGTGAATGTGAATTACCACTATTTGGATTGACCCTAAAACCAAAACAGATGTTAGAATAGCTTGCAGTTTGGATTCTTCTTTGAACTCTGGATATTGCTGTAATCAACAGGAATTTCTGAATGCTTCCGGTGACATAAAGATGATAGGTATAGACAGAAGCATTTTCATTCTTGAAGCATTACTCCTAAATCAGACTTATTAAATATCACCTCTAGACAAAATTTTCAGTCTGGCTGCTTTAATGAGAAGTAAATGATGGAAGACCACCAACCAACACTGGCCTTCAGTGATACTTAGTGATTTATGTCCCAGACAAAATTATAATTCGTCCTGGTTTTATCAAAGAAGATAAAAGTACATTGGGAAGGAGTCTGAAGCCTGCCATGCTATATTAACCTGATCCTATTGGAGTTTTATGTATTTGGTATGTTTTTAAAATTTTTTTTAGTTACAGTTGACATTCAATATTATTTTATATTAGTTTCAGGTGTATAGCATAGTGGTTAGACATTGATATAATTTATGCAATGATCACCCAGTTAGTCTAGTACCCACCTGGCACTGTACATAGTTGTTGCAACATTATTGACTATATTCTCTATGCTGTACTTTAATTCCCATGACCATTTTGTAACGACCAATTTGTACTTCTTAATCCCTTCACTTTTTCCCCAGCCCCCAACCCCCTCCCATCTGGCAACCATGAGTTTGTTCTCTGTATCCTTCCTTCCTTCCTTCCTTCCTTCCTTCCTTCCTTCCTTCCTTCCTTCCTTCCNCTATATAATCGGCTTTGACGAACAAGGCAGGTATTAGAGATGATTTTTTTTTTTACTTGAAAGCACTCATTTCTGTCACTTATAAAATTCCTACACCTCAAAATTACTGTGACCCTCAAAACTTACTCTTATCCTCAGAACACATTTCCTAGAAATTCTTCCACTCGTCCCCTTAAGAACACCCGAGTCCATCTGGGCAATAGGCAGTGGGATCTCTTACTCCAGGTTTCCATGGAGAAAAAAAAAGAGGAAGATAAAAAGGAAATATTTCTTTAATTTTAAAAAAAAAATTTTTCTTTAAATGTCCTCAAGCCCAGCCTCCTGACACATCTTAGCCCACCTGGTTTTCTGCTGGGCCCTGAGTATGTTGGTGTATTTTGGCAATTGATTACCATACTCTGCATGGTACAATCACTTGGATTTTAATAGTGGAAATCAAACTGTCTCACCTATTCCCCCTGATGTACCAATTCGGATAATGGTCACGTCACAGCACTGGGCATGGTGCAGTAATTTGATGAGTTCGTGAAGCATGATAGAAATGGAAGGGATTCCCATGCCATGCTGTTGAGAGAAAAGACACTGTCATTATACATCTTGCAAACTGATACACGCACAGGACATATTTTATTTCTTCATTACAAGTTAACAGCCCTGAGATAAATTTACATAATCATTATGTAATTGCCAAAGCTGAGGAAAAACATAAGTCAGCTCTAACTGACATCTACATGACATGCTGATAGATGTGTCCATCTGTGAGGATCAGAGACAGGCCTCTCCCCGCCAGTTAAACAGAGTTCAGCCTTCATCGTCAAGAGCAGAAGGCGGCACGGGGTAGGGTCTGGTGTGTCAGGACAGGGCCATCGTTCATCTCCTCACGGGGCTCTTTACAGTGAGCTTTG